GGGAAATAAAATAAAATTTAAATTAGTTTATGCTTTTTCTAATCTGACCTTTGTTTAAAACTGGATTGAGGTAATAATTTCTTTAAGTCAGCAAGAAGTGAAATCAGGAAGAAGACAAATCTTTAGGAATTATTTTCAAACTGAGAAATAAGAAAGAGGAAGACATAAAAGTTAGACTACAGTAATACAGCTTGGCAGTTCCAGTTAATTCATTCCCCCCAAACAGTCAAATTTTATAAGCAAATTTGTACTTCATGATTTGAGATTAGTAGTAATTTATGGAAAAATACTTTTATATCTAAAAGTTTGTAATATTTAAAAATTATGACAAAATATCATACACTATCCCTCATCTACCCACATGTGCTCTCTGCTCCCAAGGCCCAACTTCTCAACCTTTAGTGACCATGTCAACTTTTTCTATAATATAGCTAAACTTTAAGTATCAGTATGATACCAATTTGCAAAAATACTCCATTATTTAATGCTCAATTTTTAAGAATAAGCTAAGAGCTCCAAATTATTTTTATCTCAACAATCAACATATGTTCCTATATTATGCAAAAGATTAACTTCATTTTTTTCCAGTAGAACTTTAGTTTTTATAGCTTAAAATCTTTAATATTTTCTCCATCAAAATTCAGTGACTAAGACGGAAGGACTTACCTTCTTTTGGAGGTTTTTCTAATTTGCACCATGGCACCAGATAAGTAATTTCACTCTCTTGTTTATCAATAAGAGCCAAATTTGGAATGAGAAATTGTTCTTGCCATTCCTTATCTTTGGCCAAGGCTTTCTGAACTTCAGTTCGATGAGCAAAATTGTCTATGGGATGAAAAGGAGTAAGAAAAATAAAAATGTCTGATTTAAAACCACCTGTACTTTTTCTGGGTTTCATTCAATTTAGTAAATGTTCATCGAGGACACATAAGGACTGTGTTATATCACTGGAGATACCAACATAAGTAAATGTGACGCCTGTCCCCAAGCTGTTCATGGTCTAAAAGGGGAGTAGGAAGTAAACAACTGATAATATATAGTAATGGGCTTTATATGCTCTACCACTTAGTAGGTAGTTGTGAGGCTTAGGTAAGTTATTGAATCTTTGTGTCTGTTTAACTCCAGGGCTGAAGTGAGGATTAAATGAATTAGCACATGAAAGGAGCTCAGAACAGTGTTTGGCACCTAGTGAGTACTCAGTATCTGTTAACTATTCTTATTAATTTTATTGAGGCATTTAAATTATGGCGCCAGTTTAGAAAAAGACTATTTTTCTTTGTCACTGGTGATGGTGATGAGTGGTCAGGTCAAGGTATAACTGAATTAAATTGAACATAAATGAAATTAAGATTTGCTTTTTCAGCCTCTTCTTTGAACAAACAGCTTCCAAAGAAATAGTGCTCATTCTCTTACTTACTGTCATCCATTCTTTTTACCCAGTACTATTTCTCTTCTGTTTGTTACCCATATGTTACTAACATATAGGCCTAGTACTAATATTTACTAATAGGGCCTTATAAGACTAATGGTAAAAGAGTTTTGTATGGTTTACGTTGCAGATAAGGAATAACAGCCTTCTTAGAGCATTAGTAAGTTATATCAGGACCTTACGAGTAATTTCTTAATGGGACGTGATTCAGCTGGTGGTGCATTAAAGCATAAATTGTGTTTTTTTTAATAAATTTATTTATTTTTGGTTGCGTTGGGTCTTCGTTGCTGCGTGAGGGCTTTCTCTTGTTGTGGCGAGCGTGGGCTACTCTTCGTTGTGGAGCTCGGGCCTCTCATTGCGGTGGCTTCTCTTGTTGCGGTGCACGGGCTCTAGGTGTGTGGGCTTCAGTAGTTGTGGTTCGCGGGCTCTAGAGCGCAGGCTCAGTAGTTGTGGTACACGGGCTTAGGTGCTCTGCGGCATGTGGGATCTTCCCAGACCAGGGCTTGAACCCGTGTCCCGTGCATTGGCAGGCAGATTCTTAACCACTGCACCACCAGGGAAGTCCCATAAATTGTGTTTTAATGGGGTTTGTTTTATTACAACAGGGAGAACCCCTAAACTATGGCCACGTTAAATACAGAACGAGTACTTTTCATATTAAAGTACTATATGACTATTAACTTTGGACACTGATGACCAAACACTAAATGAAATTATTAAAAGTTCTTTAGATATCATCAAGTCCTGATGTGACTTCACAAAAATTTAATATTGGAGTTAAACATGCTAGGGATTCCTGTAACCGTTCTTCTTGTAAACCAGGGGTTGGTCAACTTCAATATTGAAAGAACTCACTTCCTTTCCTTTACCTCCCTAGCCTAGTATAATGACAGTGAATTCCTTGAAACTCTGGGGGCAGAAAAAAACCCAAAGTGGTCCTGAAATATAACAAAATTATTAAATCTTAAGGATGGGTGAGGGCTTCAAAGTTAACTATCATCCCCTATCAACTTCTATTTCCCTAAAGTCCCTAGATGTTTGAATGATTTCTGCTAAAACATTGATATCCAGCTATAGCTTCAATATAAAGAAAAAATAATTCTACTTTCTTTTATGATCCTAACTCACTCTGGTTCTTGCATTAACTGCTTTAAATTTTTCATAAAAAATCTTTACAATAACCATTCTAAACTTTTTTTTCTAGAATTAAAGTCTAGCTTAGAATTTTATGACTTGGAATTGGAGATGCCACATTTTCCCAATATTGCTTCCCATATGATAATATAAAGGTTCCAGCAATGGGCTGTTAAGAGGTATACTGTTGGGAAGAATCATCACTGAATTAATTTTTTTGGTATTGCTTTTTTAGTTTTACTTAACCTGTATGTATTTATAGTAACATAGATCCAAGAACTAAGTCTCATGTAATATCTAACTGAATGAAAATCTGTACTGAATACTTAAGCTGATGACTCATACCATACTTCCAAACATGAAACACTTTATTCATTCTGCCTCCAAATTCTACAGTCCAGAATCCAACCAATTCAGAGTGAGCTGTCCGAAGATGAATGTTTTTCTTAACATTTTCCAGGAACTCATTCATCTTTGAGGGCTTAACATAACAGGTACGAAATTCATAGAATGTTCCATCGTATTGTCTGGGGCCTGTAGCAAAAGATGAGCACACCTGAAGAAAGATAAGGCAACTTGAAATATTTGGGGAAGGTAGGGTTTATAATATTATGTTACAAACAAATCTGAGTCTGGAAACAAGGGACACTCATTAAACTCATAATCTGTTTCGACTTCTGTTGTCCTCTCTCCACTGAATTTGTTTAGAGATATGTCAATAAAGATGCCTGCTTTAAACATTCTAAATATATAGCTACTGTTTCCTAGCAGGGGCTCCACCTTTAGTCACTTTTCCATGAGAAGCTCCTAAGAAGGCACTGGGTCAGTCTCTTTACCAAAGGACAATTAGGATCCTAATAAATTTTACAAATAGTTAGGATCCTGATAAATTTTACAAATAGTTTATTATCCCTTATTTAGCTAATATTCCATCTGTATTGAATAGCATATGTATTAGAGTTAAGCATTTAAAACAATTTTTTAACATATACAGGTATTTTGGCTGGCACAATGACAATGTGTTTACTGGCAGAAAACTAATTTTTTTTTTACGTTCTTAAAACAATGGAAATTGCTGGTCAGGTAGAAGTATTTTCTAAATCCAGTGAAGTGGACCACTAGTCAAAAATAGGACAGGAGTGTAACTAATGTAATAGGAAACTATGACTTAGCCAGTTGCATTGTACTATGGTGATAGCCTGTGTAAATGCTAGAAAAAGGAAACATCAGTAAGTTAGAATTGTCTGAATAATTATTAGGGTTTAATTACATATGCAACCTGAAGAAGGGCATTTAATCCACCCAATTATAGCAGGTTGATGGAAATATCCCTTAAGAACCATTCATTACTTTTGTAATAGTCATATGCTCACAATGTAAATTTCTAATTGGGTTCTCTGAGTAAACTTAACTTTCAGTAGATGCTTTGTGTATGTATATGTGTTTGTGTATATATATATATATATATATATATATGTATATACAAATATATGTATATACACACATGCGCATACATATACATTCATATAGCATTCTAGTTTACATATCCATCGTACATAAGTTTGGTTAGCATGTGCACATTTCCTGAAGCTGATTATACCAGAATTATCTATTAAAGTAGTTTTGGTACTTATAAGGCTATTGATGAATTTTGGGCTTATACTGACTACCTGATATGTCAAAGGAAAGCAGTAGGCTTCTTCCTCTGACATATATTTTGTTTACAAAACACAGTAATGCATATATTTTACTTAATTGTGTATAAGGCTTAATTATAATAATCTCTCTTGAGGTCATTCCATGTCTATGATGAGTTATACTCTTATTGCCCAACTGACTTAAGCTTGCCATCAAAAACAATTGCAGCTGCCCCTGTATTTGACAGATATTCTTTTTGTGCCATCTTACTAAACTTTACTAACAGAATGTTAAGCAAATAAATACTGCCTAGTATTTATAGTTTAAAAATATTATAAATAAAATATAAGTATATCAGATATCAGAAAATGGGCCAATAGGGTACTTGTAACAATTGCTTTTTAAGTTGCTTTTCAGGGAATTTGTATTTGGAGATCAAAATATGTAATCAAAGGCATACATTTTATTATCGTTGGCAGAAGAACGTGTCCTCCTTGTATCCTAAAGTCCATTCTCTACGTCTGCGTCTTTATTCCTGTCCTTCCCCTAGGTTTGTCAGAACCATTTTTTTTTTCATTTTTTTGGTTGACATTTAATAACATCAAAGTTCAGAGTAAAATTCTAAGGAATAATTCTTGGTCCTGCCCCAATAGAGAGAATCAGAATAAAGACTGTATTGCTGATCTTGGGTGAAGGGGCCATTAATGGTTCCTCTTTAGTCTTCACCAGAAAGTCAGTCTCTAGAGTAGATTATAATCCCCTTCTTACTGCTCTTTGAGAAAGAAGTAAAAGCCTAAACACCAAAAGGAAAAAACCTCTAGGTTAGATTCACAGAATAGGCCAATTCCTGACAGTTAAGGCTGAATCACAATAATCTATTTTGTACATTTTTTATCCAGATTAAATAAGTTGTCATCATCATATTTGCTACGAGGTTCCTGACACTGCCTGACTAGGGCACCAACCTCAGGAGACAGTGGCATCTGGGCAGGATGCTTCACCACCTGCACCCTGGGCCCCCTCTTAAAGGTTCTCTGCCTGCAAAATGCTGGAAGGTTGTGTATTTCGCTTAATAGGGGGAGGCCTGTCCTATTGCCCCTTCAGTCTGGAGGGGCTTGTCAAAACACAAATCAGTAAGAGAGGCCGGACCAGTGTCTAGCACAGGCCCCAATGCGGCCACAGCGCTTCCGGGTACCTAGGCTAGAAACGGCGCCTGTCCACGATTGTTTGCGAGCCGGCCAGAGGCGACCCTGGCATTGGGTCTTCCTCTAACGGAACCCTTCCTCCTGCCGCGCATCCCGGGGTCCGCCGCCACGGGATTCCGAGACTTGTACTAGAAGTCGGCTCTGCGGCAGCAGAACCACGTTGGCAGGTCTGGGCCCGTAGGCGCATGCGCGGCCCGCGCTCTCCCCGCAGACGCCCCTCCCCGCCCCTCCCCCAGGGAACGATTTGGGCGCGTCTCGGACGGCCAGTACCTGAGGCGCCTGCGTCCGAGCGGCCAGAGCCTTAGTCAGGCTTCTTCGGAGGGCAAGCATGGCACGGCTTCGAGCGCCGAGAAGGGCAGCGGCCGGTATTCTTCCTTGAATTCTTTCTCCTGTGGCTTCCCGACTAGCAGGGAGCGGCGCCTGCACAACTCCCGGACGCAGGATCGGGGCGGGTCGGCTCCTCCTCCTGCGTTGGGGCCGGGGGGGGCGGGTTGGGGGGCGGCCGGACCGCCCAGTCTGCCAGGCGTCCTCCGCAGCCTGAGCCCCGGACGCGTTTGGTGTTAGCTCTGACCCTTCCTTCCACGTTGGTTCCCTCGAACGTTCTTACCCCCAGCGTCAGAAATGACATTAGAATTAGCTGAGTGCTGATGTCGCTCCTGTACCACCTGTCTGGGCCCGTCGCCTCGTCTCCTTGCGCACGTGTGTACAGTTCCTAAAAGTTCGTGTGTAGGATGCGAGTGTGTACGACCAAGGAGCCTTCACTTTTCTGTTCTAAGTGCATTCTCCTTCCCCATCACTGCCCACAGCGCGAAGTTGCAAGGCTCCTAATAACTTACACTGGATTTTCCGGGAGCTCAGAGGAATGGGCGCACCGAGCTAGATATGAAAAAATCAAATATAAACATACGTTGTTAAAATTCTGTGATCCTTAAAAGCAAAACCTCTGGTCTAGTCTCCCCTGTCCCTGATTATTGCTCACCAGAATAATCACCTTTCAACATTTCGAGCTATTTCTTCTGACGCCTGTTTCTGTATTTTTAAATAATAGGCATATTTTGCTATTTCTTGTGTTTTTTTTGTTTGTTTTTTTTTCGGTCTAGATAGTATCTATTGACTCCTTCTATGGAAGAAGAGGATTTGTATCTCTAGTATAACACTCCCCCCAAATAATTTCCCTTCCTGCGGCTAATAATATTTACATGAAAAATAATCAGTTAATTGATTACATCATTAATTTACATTATTTACATCATGTTAATGTTTATGTTATTCTTGCTAATAGTTACATTATTGCAAACATTAATGCAATATTGCTTATATTATTAGGACTAGGGGGTTAGTTGTACCTTGTACAATGACTTGAGTCATCTGTTCAGAGGAAAGGAGGCTTTTTAAAATTAGTAATTCCAGAAGGGCGAGTCATTTTTTCCAGATGATGGGCATCCATTTCTAACTAATGAAGACAAAACAAAGCATCATCTGTGCCCAGACTGGATCTTTATGTTTAAATTTATTTTCTTAGACTCCCCCCTCCCCAACCCCAGAATTAATTTATTCCCTCATTCAACCCATATTAAATTTCTTCTATGCTTCAGTCACTTTTCCAGAAACTGGGGTGCAGAGGTGAACAAAAGACAAAGTCTGTGTCCCCTTGGAAGTTCCAGGTTAGGGGAAACAGATAGACAAATGAAAGAAAAATATATCAGGGATTAATAAATACGTCGAGGAAAGACAAAGTAGGATATGGAGAATAGAAAGTGCTGGAGGGAGGTAGCAGAGACTGCTAGCTCTTTCCCAATGCCATTCTTGTCCCAACCCCTCTTAAAAAAATACTAATAGAACCCAGGCAGCTTGGTGCATCCACGTGACTTAAGTCCTGGCCAGTGGGATGTTTTAGCGCATTTATGACCTACTGTAAGTGATCTTAAAGTTGTGTAGGAGGGGTTGTTTTCCTCTTTGCCTTTTTCTTATTTCTGCCTGCTAGAATGTGGATGTAATGGTTTGAGTTCTTGGTCTTTGAGGTAGAAGCCACATGCTGGGGATGGCAGAACAACAAGAGAGAAGCAGCCTAGGTTCTGACACCAAGGAACACCATACTAGGAGCCCTGGACTGCCTGTCTCTGGACTTCTTCCACAAGAGAATTCATCTTCTAGTTTAAGCCACTGCTATGTGGCTTATGTCTATGATCTTAATCATAGGAAGGTGACTATTTTTTTATTTCTCTTTTTCATTTGTTTCTCTTCTTTTCCTTATACTTATTAATCACCAGATTCTTTGCCAAAACTCAAAATGATTAAACCTGTTAATCAGTTTATCAGTTTCATCTTCTAGAGATATCTTTCAGGAGTCTTTTCTCTTGGTCCAGTGTGGACTAAGCGTTCTCTAAGGTGGCCCTGTAGTAATTCTTGGATCTCCTTTCACTGATCTCCTGGGGAATCTCGTTTGCCTTGTGTTGGACCTCATTTTTCCAGGATCGTGCATCTTGTTTTTTCCTCCTAATTTTAGGAGACAGCACATGGGACTTAAACTTTTGAGACTTGCATCTCTTAAAATGTCTTTATCAACCTCCTTAAATTTATAGTTTGGGTAGGTGTAAAATTCTACATTGGAAATAATTTTTCCTCATGTTTTTAAAGGCACTGCTCCATTGCATTATAGTTTCTAGTGAGACATTCATCCCGTTCTGATTCCTGATCCTTTGTATGTGACTTATTTCTCTCTGGAAGCTTTTATGTTTTTCTTGTTTTCCCTAATTTTTTGAAATTTCACAATAATGTTCCTTGGGATAGATATTTTTTCATACATTGTGTCTCACTCAGTTGACCCCCCTCAATCTGGAAACTCTTAAATTATGAAAAATTTGTAATGTTTCTTGGATTTTTTTTCTTCCTCCTCAATCTCTGGAACTTCTTTTGTTCAAACATTATGCCTCCATTTGAACCTCTAATTTTCTTTTTCCTCCTAATTTTTTAATCTTTCTTTTTTCCTTTTTTCGGGGGGGGGGTCATGAAATGTTCCAATTTTATTTTCTAACTCATGTAGTAAAATTTTAAACTTCTAATTTCCATTGTTTATGTCCAAGAGCTCCTTTTTACCCCTTTTTCCAGAATGTTTTTTTCCCCACTCTCTTCAGAAATATTAGCCTCTTTTTGTTTCATGGGTTCTATATTTCTGTCTCTCTGGGGACATTGATTATAGGTGTTTTCTTTTTAAATATTGTTGTTTTAAGTCTTCATTTGAGTTCTATTTTGTTTTCTATCTATTTTTTCTGTCTCTGGTACTGGAGTTTTTCCTGAAATGTTTTTGTATCTGTCTCTCAGCTCATATTTTGAAGTTGGACTATAAAAAAGCTCTGTGAGTTTGGGCGGGTCTTGCCAAGTAATGGGCTTTAGTGTAGGGTGATCTGACTGGGCAGTTTCCTTCAGTAGATGCCCATCACCCCACTGTTATTATCTATAAGTTATTTCTATTTTTGTCTAGTCAGTTTTCTCAGCAAGGAAACTTCTGGTGTCCCACCTGTGAGGTCTAATCTTTGTTGCCAGGTTCTTGAGGCTAAAGACAGAAGGAGGCCAGAGATCTCAATATTTGGTAGTATCTTTCAAGAATATATATAATATATATATACATACATACATATATATATATATCGTTTAGGCTAATTTGCTGTTACAGATTGACACCAAAAGCATATTATGACTCAAACACTATGAATTTTATTTTTTATGAGAAACCAGAGTGCATTTACCTACTTGGCAGGCAGCTCTTCTATACATGATAAAGACCAGACTTCTTCCACACTGTGGCTTGGCCACCCCCTAGAGCCTCCTCATTAACTGCATCCAACCAAGAGAAAGATAGAGGAAACTTCCAAGAATATTTCCAAAAGGAGAATGCTTACAAGATAGGAGTAAAATTTATGGCTACAACTTAGAATTAGGTAAACATTGTCAAGTACTGTTAGGTGCCTAAGGCAATCTCCTATTTATTTTCTCACAGGTTTTAATTATCCTCAAAATGCTATAAGTTAAATTTTATCTCCATTTTATAAGTGAAAAAGGTGAGATTTTGAGACATTAATTTCCTCGGGTTCACTGCTGTTATGTGGCCCAGCCAGGACCACTTTTTAATTATTGCCATCTGGTCCAATGAGTGTGAAAGTGCATTTTACACTGTACGTAACAAATAGGTATCAGTTAAAGGGTGGAGGAAATTATATGAGGTGGGGAAAGGCAAGGATCCACTTGATGATGTCTCTGCTTGGTTTTGTCCAAAGGTCAGCCTCATCAAATCTGAAGAAGGAAGTGGGAGAGGTGGATCCAACGCTGGCCCAGCTGCATAGGAGGGCAGTAGCTCTACGTGTAAACTCCAGATGCTTGTCCTTTGGTGACATCACTGGTAAGTACTTTCTTTGTGCTGCATCATTGTGTGGCCACTAGGTGGTGGTATAAACTAGTTTCCTTCATTAGGCTTCCAGTAGTGTGCGCTATTTTTGTTATTTTTAAGTTCCTGTAAGTTAACCTGTAGGTATTTAGAGTGGAGTTGTCTTACAGTTCTTCTTTTTTTGTTATATGGTATTATGTATTAAAGAGAAAAATTTCAGTAAAGATGAATTACTTTCAAAACTTTTATGAGTTACTTTATTATTAATATATATAAATGGTAATAAAGTAACAAATTTTCATTCAGTGTTTCTTAGCAAGTATCTTACTCATATCAGTGAATATGTATTAAGCACCTGTTGTGTGTTGAGTATTGAATTAAATGCTGTGGGGAAGGAAAAAGACTGGATACCTCTTCTTGAGATTGTCAATGTCTTGATATTTCTGTATCAGCCTCTTTGCTGCTAGCCTTCTTAGAATTAGTAGGAAAGACTTGTGAGCAGCCCAGTATTTCATATAATATGAATTTATTTAATGCTGTTTCTATTAACAAAATAAATTGTTTTTTATTACTAAAACACATAAACATATGAGTTTAATATATATCCGTTATATACCTTTTTAGATATCCTCTGTTAATTGGCTTTCTTTATGTTTTGCATTTGAAAGTGAATTCTAGTGCCAATGACATTTAAAAACCTGTCAATAATAAAAGCAATTATTTCCTGAAATAGGCTTGGCAAGTCTATTCCTTTGAATAATCCTTGTGCCTCACAATTGGAGTTGGGGGGAAACATTTGGGGGAGGTATTTCTGGACCTTTTGCTAATTGTTTTGGATTTTTATTATGAAATATGGCTGATTTCTTTCCTAGGTGTAAGTTTAAACACCTTTTACCTTTAGGCACTAGTGCGCTTAGTCTGTGACACGTTTTTCCATGAAGTTCCTCTTTCAAATGAACACACATTATCTGATGCTCTCCAATGGAATTCTCTTCCTCTCTGCAAGTTATCATAGACACCTACTAGCTGAGTAATCAACTCACTTTTTAATCTGTGTTAGCTTTACCTGACCATCTTTAATTGCTTTTGCAGCATCTTTATAATTTGTTATTTTAAAATTTATTCTCAATATTGTATTGCAGGCCAGAGCATTAATGTAAGGGGCTTGTAGGATGTATCCAAACCCAGGGGGCCTATTGGCTCTTCTGTCCCTTGTTAGGTCCTTCAGGATATAGTTTAGGATTTCCCCAGATACACTTTATGATTGAAGCTCAGATGTCCCTTTATCTCTTATGAAGGTTGACAGACACATAGCTTATGGGAAATCAGCATTATTCAGATTAAAATTTCTTCTGAAAAATGTAAGTTGACTTCTCAAGATAGCTTAATAGTGTAAGGTAGAAGTGGGTTTACTAGAAGTGGGGTTACTAGTTCCATTACTAGAAGTGGGCTTCATATTCAAGGTGATTTTCTTCTTATATAGACACTGAATATTAAGAAATATGGTTCCCAATTTTCCTACTACCTTGGTGTCATCAGAAGTTCTCACTCAGCACAAAATAAAACTAAAACTAGTTAATGAAAAGTCATAACTTTACAGGCTGCTTCAGTATAATTCCTGTTTCATAGTGTTTTTCATTGAATAATGGTCCTGAGCCTGTAAGTGTTTTGGAATGGAGCCTGTTGGTAGATTTATGTGACTAGAGTCTCATTTGTGATTACCTCTTCAATGAGAGCTAGGCCCTCATTTGGCTGGTTAATTCTTTCCTCTTTCCTATCTAGCTGCGTTTCTCATTTTTAAACGGGTTTTAATAAATATTGATTATTCTCAAATCATATATCCTATTCCTGTCCACCTCTCTTTCAGAGAATGTTGGTGATACCTATTTCACAGACAAGAGAACATCAGATTCTAATGTACCTGATATTTCATAGGAGCTGTTATATATATTATGTCATTTACTTATCTCTTTCTTACTTATTGTCTTTCATTTCACCTTGTGAGGTTGATTTTCCATTTCATAAATTAAAACAAAAACAGCAAACAAGAAGCTCAAAGAAGCTAAGTGACTGACAAAGGGTAACAAAATGAGTAGTTTAGAGCTGGTTCACTCATTTTAATTTCTCTCCTATAATCCAGTGTTACGGGATACCATAACTTAGTTATTGATATTTAAGTGTTCCCATATGTTTATTTTATAAATAATGCTTCAGTGAATAACTCTGTGTGGATCTCCTTGGTCATATACCTGTAAGTGGAATTAATGAGTCAACTTCATACTTTTTGGTAGATTTTTAAATTGATTTATAATTCCTACTGTCAGTGAATGGGATTTCCTCTTTCTCCATATTCTTGACAGTTCTTGTAACGGTTTAATATTTTCATATCTCTTGGCTGAGAAATATCTCGTTGATTTAATATACATTTCTCTGATTTCATGTGAATTGAGCCTCTTTTCATAATTTTATAGTGCATGCTGTTTTCCTTTTCTTTGAGGTCCTGTTTATATCCTTTGCCCTATTTTCTGTTATGTTGTTTATCTTAGTAATCTGATAGCTTAAAAAAAAAAATCTGGATACTAATCCTCTTTTGTTGTATTTGTTACTGATATAATCTTTCATTTGTGTGAATATTTAAACCTTCCTAATGATGCATTTTTGCCATATAGATGTCTCTAAATTTGAATTAGTAGATTTTTATGTTTTATGGGCTCATTTGAGATAACGCTTTTCCTATCCCTGTGTATGAAGACATTTTCCTGTAGATATTTTACAGTTTTGCTTTTGGCATTTGATTTGTATCAAATTTATTTTGGTCACAGTGTGAGGTGGAGGTTTAATTTGATCTTTATTTTTCCCTTTAATATTAGTAGTCCATTACCAAAGCACAATTTATTAAATATTTCATCCATTCCCTACTGATTTGCAATGCCATATTAAGTATCATTTATTTAGGATATAAACTTCCACATATGCCCAGGCTATTTCTGAATACTCTATTTCTTTGACATATTTATGTTTACTTGTACCAATGCTATGCTATCCGAATTATTGTAGTTTTATCATCCATCTTGACATTTAGTACAGTAAATTTGTAGCTCTTATTCTTACATTTTCTTGGCTATTCTTGGTCTTTACTATTCAAGTTGAATTTTGGGGTAAACTTAAGAAATTAAAAAAAAATCCTAATTTCATTTTGATTGAAATTACACTAACTTTATAGTGAAATTTGGGATGAATTGATGTAGTTATTCTTGAATTTCTTAACATGAACAAAATAAAGCTCCCCAGTTTGTGGGGGGTTTTCTTCTATGTGTTTTAAAGAAGAGTTATACTTTCCTTCGAAAATTCCCTACACAGATTTTACAGATTTATTTGTGAGCACTTTATACTTTTGTTGGTGTTGTGAGATGCTTTTTAAAGTACATTTTCTAACCAATTATAACTGCTGCACAAAATACTATTGAATTTTGTATATTGATCATGTATTTAGAAGTCTTGCTAGATCCTCTTATTCATTTAAATTTTAAGATTTTCCTTTTATAGATTTTTTTCTTACTTCCTATGTAGACAACCTTATTTTCAGTAAATAATGATAATTTTGTTTCTCCCTTTCCAATCTTCATACCTCCTCTCCTTCCCTTCCTCCTTCTCTCCCTCCTGCCCTTTTTTCTCCCCTTCCTTCCTATTTTTCTCTTTCTTTTCTTTCTTTGCTTTCTCCCTTCCTTTCTCCTTCTCTTCTCTCTCTTTCTCTCTCTCTCTTTCACTGGGTAGGATTTCTGTGCAATGTTGAATTTGTTTGGAACTTTAAGGGAACTTGTTATAAGTTTTTTGATAAATACTCTTTATCAGGTTAAACGAGTTTTTTTTCTGTTTTTAGTTTGCTAAGTTTTTAATTTTTAAAAAATTGTGAATGCCTATTGAATTCAAAACTTTTCCTGAATTTGCTAAAAACATATTTGTTTTTATTCTTTAATTAATATTGTGGTGAGTTACATTAACATATTTTTATAATGTTAAGACTTCCTTACATCCCTGGTATAAACCCTGCCTAGATGTTAGGTATTATTATTTTGTACATTGTTAGATTCTGTTTGCTATTATTTTATATAGAAATTTTCTGTCTATGTTTGTGTGATTGGCTCATAATTTTTCCTTTCTCATATTGCCGTTCAGTTTTCATTTCAGTGTTATTTCAGGCTTATAAAAAACAGTTGGGCGAGGTTCCCACTCACTTTTTATGTTTTATGAAACAATTTGCATATGATAAGGGGTACCTGTTTTTGGAAAGTGTATTAAAAGTATCCAGGGAAATGGGATGGGCCTGGTAAAATTTTAAACTACTGGTTTGGTCTTTACCTGTCCTTGGATTTTTTCATTTCTTCTTTTTATAAATCTTTGGGTGGGATTCTTAGTATATTAATTTTTAATCTTTCTTTTTTCTGAATTTTATTTTATTTTTTTATACAGCAGGTTCTTATTAGTCATCCATTTTATACACATCAGTGTATACATGTCAATCCCAATCTCCCAATTCATCACACCACCACCATCACCCCCTGCCGCTTTCCCCCCTTGGTGTCCATACTTTTGTTCTCTACATCTGTGTCTCTATTTCTGCCCTGCAAACCAGTTCATCTATACCATTTTTCTAGGTTCCATGTATATGCGTTAATATACAATATTTGTTTCTCTCTTTCTGAGTTACTTCATTCTGTATGACAGTGTCTAGGTCCATCCATGTCTCAACAAATGACCCAATTTCATTCCTTTTTATGGCTGAATAATATTCCATTGTATATATGTACCACATCTTCTTTATCCCTTCGTCTGTCGATGGGCATTTAGGATGCTTCCATGACCTGGCTATTGTAAATAGTGCTGCAAAGAACATTGGGGTGCATGTGTCTTTTTGAATTATGGTTTTCTCTGGGTATATGCCCCGTAGTGGGATTGCTGTGTCATATGGTAGTTCTATTTTTTGTTTTTTAAGGAACCTCCATACTGTTCTTCAT